TTATTTTGATATATCACAGTGAAAGATTTATCGTCCTCTTTTTTTTTTTTTTTTTTTTTTTTTTTTTAAAAAAAAAAAAAAAAAAAAAAAAAGACTGATAGACAGACACATCTAGCAGGTGTGTCCTAGAGAATGGATGGAGTAACGGGTCACGGAAGAGAGACTGGCGGCGTTTGTTACCAGGACTAAAATCCAACCTTTCCTGCAAAAGTCAGGCTTTTCAAAACCTTTCTCCCACCAGCCCAAGCTCAGGAATGTCCTTGAAGACTTTCTGCTGAGACTGACAGTGACTGGGCGAATGTGACTGACATCTGGTCACATTGCTCAGCATCCAAGAGACCCTGGGTTCAAATCCTGTCACTATGGAAAACAAATAACAATAAACTCCCCAAACCCAGCCACCTCCTCCTTGAGTTTGGGATACAGGACAGAGTTAGAACAGCCACATTGATTTGTTCTTAAAATGTATATTCTTTCCAGATAACCACCCTGTTAAGCTGGACTTTCTGAATCCCACACTTTACCACCAAAAACTTTGCCTACAGCAGAGACCACAAGCACCCAAGAGACCCCAACTGACTTTCCCTAAGCGAGAGATTTGTACAAATGTAAAACAATGCCACTTTTCTTGCTGAAACCTTGTTTTGGAAAATACATTTTCCACACAATTGTTGCTGATGTTAACATATAATGAGCTTATTGCTCTTTTTGAATGTCTGAAACTTGATTTTAAGATGGTATTCTATAGGTAATGGAACCCTTCAGAATTCCTCTGGAGTCCTTCATTGTTTTTCCAAGTGACCAGGGTCCTGAGACCAGGGTTTGAGCTCTGCCATGCTCTAGTGGCATATGGAACCTTAACATGGCAAGGGCCCTCTTCCCCAGATGGGAACTTGAAGTGATTGTGGCAGTTCCCACAGCCTGAGTTCCTGTTTCTTGAGGCTCTTCCTGGTCTCTGAAGCCACTGGACTCCAGGCCAGGCCCCACCTGTGAAGCGCCCCGTGGGTTCTTCTGTGCATGTTCTGCCTCCTGCAGGAAGCTGAGCGTATCTTCCTACCTTTGGCCCTATTCTTTCTTCACAACCTGGAGCTTTGTTAGGAGCGTATTGGGACTGAATGATGAGACTCTCCTTGGACATTTCAGAGTACTCTCTGTGCCCTACACTGGGTACTGTTCTGCATCTTCTAGTATCTCTAGGACCTGTCTTTCTGGTTAAATCCATACCTGAGTAGTCTGCTGGTTCCAACCAACTGGACTTGTCTTGGTCTCACTTTTAATGTTTTTAGGTTGGCTTTAAGATCTCCTGAGCTTTTGTATATTTGGCTTTCTGGGTCATCAAAAATATCTGTTAGCCAGAAATGATGGTGCATGCCTTTAATCCCAGCACTCAGGAGGCAGAGGCCAGCCTGGTATACATAGTGAGTTCCAGGCCAGCCAGGGCTACATAGGGAGATCCTATCTTAAAAAAATAAATCTGAAAATAAAGGCGACTCCCATTTCTTCGTCTCTCTCTCACTTCCTCACTTTACTCATCAGTGTGCACGCTGTAAACAGGAAAACACCCAGAGCGGCAGTGGAAGGGGGGTGCTGCTTAGAGGCCTAGCTTTAGTTTTCAAGGTTCATGTTGTTTTGTTGAGACTTTTCAAGTATTTTAGCACTGTCCTAGTTTGTCTCTCCATTGCTGTGACAAAACACTCTGACCACTACCAACTTGGGGAGGAAAGGGCTTATTTGTCTTACATCTCCCAGGTCACAGCCCAAGGTAGGAACTCAGGGCAGGAACTGGAGGCGGGAGCTGGAGCACAGGCCATGGAGGAACACTGCTTACTGGCCTGCTTCTCTGGCCCCTGCTCAGCCTGCTTTCTTATGCAACACAGGCCCACCTGCCCAGGGGTGGCACCACCCACAGTGGGCTGGGCCCTCCCACATCACTCAACAATCAAGAAGGTGTCCCATGGACATGGCCGCAGGCCAGTCCAATGAAGGAAATTCCCCAGTTGAGGCTCCCTCAACCCAGGTGTGTCAAGTTGACACTAAAGCTATCCAGCACAAGCACTTACTAATAATAGTCATTTTATTCAAATGACTCAATAACTAAAGAAGAAATCAGAAAGTCTTCCTGTACATACTGTGGACGGTGTCAACCCCAGATGGTCTTCAGCTGAGTCCCTCTACCCTGGACTGGGAAGAGGCCTGGGCCAGATGTAAATGAGCAAGCCCCAGACTGCTCAGATGTCAGAGGGGGGCAATCAGAGAACAAAGGTGGGTGCTGACACCAGGGTACTGAAGCACCAGCGTGTTACCACCAAGGTTCTAGAAGGCAGAGGTCTAATGTGAATGCCGCCCCTGCACCTGGAACCTCAGTATGTCCCTCCTATGGAGCTCTAGGCAGGGCTCGCCTCCAGCAGCCTCTCGGGCAACACTAGAATTCCTGGGAGACCCCCATCCTTTGGGAGGCTCAGGAACCTCATGGAAGCCCGGCCTTAGTGACCCAAGCTGGGGACAGGCAAGTGCATGTCATAGCAGGTCACTGGGTGTCCACGACAGGGTCCCCAGAACCTAGGGCTGCATGTGAATTCTGGGAGTGGTGTCTAATCTCAGAGCAGAACATACCTCATCTGTGCACTAGCCAGGGCAAGCTTCCTGACTCAGCTGGGTAGCAAGTGCCTTAGCCCTCCATCTTCCTGGGGCTTTTCAGGAGAGCTGCAGACCCTGCTGGCCCCTAAGTGCCAACTATGCAGCCTCTCCCCCACTAGAGATGCGGTGACATCACATGGCAGATGGTATTTCCCTCGTGAGTTTATGCCAGAGATGTGGGCAAGTGCTCCGTCTGCACCATAGTGTGGCTGTTCCCTACTACCTGTGGCTGCCAGCAAAACGCGAGTCCACAGGACACAGACTCGGGGGCCCTGTGAGCAGACTGAGGGGTGAGTGCTCAGAGGCCCTCAGAGCAAGGTGGAGCCTGCCAGCCACTCTGGTCAGCTGTGATGGGTGGTCATGGAAGAGTCACTGAAAGCTGCAATGTGGTGGTAACGAGCCTCTTTAGATGGTTGCTAAGAACTTTGGACCCTGAAAGGCCCCAAGATAAGAACGGGGGTGGGGTGGGGCATAAAACGGGAACGTATGTGCTATTAGCCTTTTGCTTGTGTTCCTCACATATGAACTGAGCAGAAATGTCCCCAAAACCTTGAGCGAGGGGCTGGCACCATTACGGAGTGATCTCGGTGTCAGCCCGCCTGCGTGAATAAAACTCACTCTCTTCTAGTGGCTTGGTGGCTGGTTTGTTGATGCTGGGCGGGTTCTGTAACCCAGCCGCACAGAGCCTGCAGCGCCTCCCACAGGCAGCCCGGAGTCAGCCTCCGCACCGTCTGGGTGGCAGTATGTCAGCTGCCCTCTCATGTCCATCTGACGCTACCACTGGGCGGGAGTGTGTATGTGGGGGGGGGTCCTCACATCAGGAGGGCAGCGGCAGCACGGAGGAGCCCTGCTACCACCCCCGACCCCAAAGGTGGGCTCAGCCAGGGGCCAGAGGGTAGTTCTCTAATCCTCATGGCACACTGCTGTACACATGGCTGATCCTCCGCCACCAAACCCAGTCCTCTGAGCTGCGATTGGCCTGGTTCCACCGGGGTGAATCAGAGAGGCCTGCTCCTAGATTCCTGTGTGGCCACTGTGACAAAAGCCAAGGCCTGACCAACAACACTCTGGAGACTCAGGCAAGGGGCTTCTGTGAAACGACAGAGGTGAGCTGGCCGCGGTGTGCCTTCTCCTGTGTCGGCTCACATACTCCAAGGAGCTTAGAGAAAACCCAAACTCTTCCCCAATAGGTGTGCGCACTGGGTGAGCTAGCTATCGCTCACAGGCCCCTGGGTGTGCACTGGGTGAGCTAGCTATCGCTCACAGGCCCCTAGGTGTGCGCGCTGGGGGAGCTAGCTATCGCTCACAGGCCCCTGGGTGTGCACTGGGTGAGCTAGCTATCGCTCACAGGCCCCTGGGTGTGCGCACTGGGTGAGCTAGCTATCGCTCACAGGCCCCTGGGTGTGCGCACTGGGTGAGCTAGCTATCGCTCACAGGCCCCTGGGTGTGCGCACTGGCAGTTTCCTGTGCAGGGTGCTCTTCCCTCTAGCACTTAGTACATGTGCAGCTCACTCTGCTGACAGAGCTGGAGCACCTTCATGGCTGGGGCCTGTGGCTCACTTAGCATATGACTGCTACCTCCAAGGCCCAGACCGCAGGCCGTGGAAGAACAGGCGTGGCTCCTGTGCTGGTGTGAAGCTCCGAACACATGATGAAAGGGTTACCAGGCACCGGTGGCACTGGGGTAATAGGTACATTGGCGCAGTCACAGCAGACCCTACGGAGGAAGGACACGGGACTCCCCTTTTCCTGTGGCACCAACCTGCACCTGACCTGTGCTATTTGTTTTTGCTTGCAGCAGGAGACTGGGGGGCGCAGGAGCTGTCACCCCAGTGCTTCCCCCTCACACCAGAGAAAGTGAATTCTACTTCTAAGCAATAATGGAAAGTACACATTTAATATCAAAAGCCATTTCAAGTATCATCGAGAGTGACTACACTGGAGAGCAGATCTGGGACCTTCTCACTGGGAGTGGCCCTGCAGTCCCCGGCCCGTGTCCGAGGAAGGCTGTTAATGCTGGAGATGGGGGTCCCACGGTCTCCCAAGGCCACTGGGGTCCTGGAAAGCCCTTTAGAGCAGCCCGTGGAGGCTAGACTGAAGCCTGTCCCCTCCCTGGAGCCCTGCCTGGGTGGGAGGGCCCCGAGCCCAGGTCCACCCCCGGCAGGCTTAGACGTTGGACTTAGCGATGATCTTCTCCAGCAGGCTCATCATGCGCTCCTGCAGCTGCAGGCTCTGCACCTGCAGGATGTTCTGCTGGTCCAGCACGCGGCGCACCTCCCGGCACGTCTCTTCCATGGCACGGCTCAGCCTGCGCTGCTCCTCCAGCATGGCCTCCAGCAGCCGCAGCTTCTTCTTCTGCAGGTGGCAGCTCTGCACCTTCCGCTTCTTCATGGGCCGCTCCTCTGACCTGCGGGGAAGAGACAAGGTGGTCACAGGGCCTGGGGCACGGGGGCTACCTGACCCTCCCAACCACCCCACAAACGGACACTGAAGCCCCAGGAGGACTTGCTGAGAGAGGACAGAGAGAGAGAGAGAGGAGAGAGAGAGAGAGAGAGAGAGAGAGAGAGAGAGAGAGAGAAACTGTGAGCCACAGTCACTGCTGGCTTGTCGGAGGAGCTGCCCACAGCTGAGGTAGCATCCCAAGCCCACTAAACTTGGTGGGGCTCAATGGTGGAGAACCCACCCCAGTGAGAGAGGAGGCTGGGTAGGGAGGTGCTGGGCAGTATGTAGTACTTGGTACTCCTAAGGGAAATGGAGACTCTGAACCCTGCTGGCCTGTGACAGACAGAAAAATAAGTCTAGAATGACGACTTGCCCCAAGCCCTCTGTCTCCCGGTATGCTTTGGGGCAGGGAGGCAGGAAGATGGACCCGATGGTTCCCTTCCAAGTACCCCAGGGGTGTGCTGCTAGACCCTCAATGGATAGTAAGAAGCTGTCAAATCCTTCCAGAACCCAAAGCCTATTCTGGTGCCTGCCTGCCAGCACCCAGCCTCTGCTCTGTGTGCCCTGGTGCTGGCCAGTCTCTGGACTATGCTCTGTGTTCTGAGCAGAGTGGGTGACCAGTCAGCTTTGGGGACAGAAGAGTGGGGCTTGGCCCAACCTTGTAGATCCCTAGGCAACTGAGCCTGGGAACTGGGCTTGGTAATCCAAGGGAACAATTGGCCATAAATCTCAGGCCTCCTTGCTAACTTCTTCTGGCTTCAATGAAGACAGATATTGTCTGAGACCTTTAATGAGAAATCTCCTCTGGGAAAGGGCGCTGAGTGGATTAGGCAGAGGCTCCCTGCCCCAAGGATGTTAAGTTCAGAGACCTCCATGGAGACACCTTCCTTCCTACCTTCTGTCAGGCAGACCTGACCTAGGAGCAGGAGAGAGCCTGCCTCAAAGCCGCATTCTTCCTAGTTTCTTCAGCTGGCCAACTCTGCTTTTACTGTGGAAGTCCATCCTAAATGTCTCCTCAGAAGTGCCGGCTCTGGGCTCCCTGGCCTGTGGCCACAGGGTATCTCCTGCTTGCCCCCTGACTTCCCCTTACTGTGCAGGCACAAGCATAAGGCCAGCACAGGCTTGCAGCATGACGACAGAGGAGACAGACAGGACAGGACAGGACCCACCCACTGCTCAGGAGGTACAGCCTAACATCCTCTCCACACCGAGAAGATCTGTTCCTGGGAGAGAAGTAGGGACCCCCAAACAAGGTCCATATCGGGGTGCAGGGCAGGCAGGGAGGGTACACTTGGGTCAGGCCCCATGTCATCTTTTTTTGATGCTCCCTGCCACCCTCTGAGGAAGTACTGATTTATCCCCATTTTACAGGAGGGAGATGGAGGTCAGAGAGGTCAAGGAACTTTCCATGCAGCTTAGGAGATGATGGGAACCACAGGCCATCTGTCCACTGGCACTAGAGTCCTTGCTGCTCTGAGGCTGACCCAGCCCTGAACCAGGCATACAACTGCAGCCTCTGCAGCTAGTCAGGGCAGAGGACACCACAGTGTGACAGCCTGTGCCACTGCTAGCCCCCTGCTCTGAGCACTGGAGCCTGGCCTTCAGGGGTGGGGCAGGGACTGGGGGCACCAAGGCGGTCCTGGGTCAGGAGAAGAAGAGCGAGCACACACTACCTGAACTTAAGGGACAGTAAGCTGGAGGAGCTGTCGGAGCGATCGTCCTCGAAGCGGCCTTCGTAGGAGCACTGGGTATACGGTAAGTACAGAGGGGTGGACTTAGCGGACGGCGACAGAGACGCCTCAGTCTGGGACGTGGAGGGCCCCGGTTGCTGGCCATCCGGCAGTTTGCCCTCACAGGACTCGGGGACTTTGGCCAGAATCCTATCAATGGCTAGGTAATAGGGCCAGTCCGGCGGGACGGACTCGCTATCTGTCATGCATTTTAGTTTCCTGAAACGAGAGACAAGAGCCAAGTGAGAAGTAGCCTGTCCTGCCTGCCCCGGGCAGAGTGGCACACAGGGGTTCCCAGAGGGAGCCACGTTGGCACGGGCAGGAGCCACTCTGCCAGCACAGGCCTCCCAGGAAATCAGCCAGGCTCTAGGGCCCGGGAGAAATTGGACAGAAGAGTGGCTTTGGGATCTGCATAGCCTTTGGGTGTCAGAAAGGAAGCCCAAATGTGAGCAAGGGCACCCAAGGTGTGGGAAGCACCCAAGGTGTGGGAGCTTGGGGCTGGCTCCTGCAGGCCCCTGCCTTTCTGTGGGCTCTCAGCTCCCTACAAGGAGCTCACACTACTTTGTACTAAGCTAAACTGCAATGATGAAACTATGTGATAGTGGTAGGAAGTTACAACAGCAGGTATGGAATTCTACAGAGACACTGCCAAGAGAGGAAACAGGAGGGTCACAGGACAAAAGGTCCATAGCTCTGAGCCCCTCTCCCCCTAACACTAGCTTGCTGTGTGACCTCGGACAGGTTCGTTAACCTCTCTGAGTCTTCATTTTTTTGCCTTAGTAAAATGGAGATGAGAGAGTAACCTCCTCACAAGGCTAAAGGGAGGGTTTAACAACAACAATGCCTGGTACCCGGCAAACAGCAGGCCAGGCCCCAGTGTTGCTTCTAGCAGAACCTGACAAGAAGCCATACTGGCCTTGTCGCTGTGCTGCTGCCACCGGTCCATCCCTGAGGAGAGCCTGACCCAGGTCTTGAACCCACAGCCTGCCCAGAGACGGTAGGGCTGGGGGGTGGGCACCTTCTCACATTGCCTGGCACCCTCCTCTTCAATGGGGCCTGGGCCAAGGGTCTGCCCAGTGTGGCCAAGGCCCTCCCAAGCCTTGTGTCCTGCCGTGGGTGGGTCCTGCCTCACTGAGAGGCCTGTCACATCCCTGTCCTCTGTCATCTTCGGAAACAGGAGGGCTGGGGAGACGGGGCACAGGCTGGTGGGCAGCTCTGGCCAGTGGCTGAAGAGGCCACAGGTGGGGTAGGCAGGGAATCTTGGACTTCAGGGCCACCTTTGGCCCACATGGGGCTTCTTTGTTAGGGGTTAGCCCTGAATGCAATGGTGCTGGAGGGCTGAATGAGCCAACACAGGCGCAGTCTGTGATGAGGGCTGCTGCCGGGACTGGCCACGGTCAGCCACAACAGAAGCTCTGGCATGTGGAGTGGCTTCAGCAGAAAGCAGCCCTCGGTCACATAGGGCAGGGCACAGGCTACTCTGCTCTACGCGAACAGCAGGGGGACCATCAAGCTACCCTGGGGGCACAGGGAAGGGAAGGCTCACCACTGACTGGTGTCATATCAGCCTTTAACCCAGGCTCCTCTGTGGACCCTCCAGAGAACCTCCCCCAGCTCTCTCTGCTCCACTCAAGCCAGCCCACTCCTTGGAGGGATAGGGGAAGCCTGTCTCCACTGCAGGGCCTCCTGTAGTCCAACAAACCATGGTCCATAGAACCTAGCTACCCATTTGGATTTCCATTAAGTCAGAAACCCTTAATATATAAAGAGCTCTTGTGAAAAACTAAGAAAAGATGGGGGTGGGGAGTAGGAGTGGATAGATAAAGAACAGGTCAAAGCCTGATTAAGAAATGTACAGCAGGACCTCTCTGGGCCTCAGCTCCCCCTTGGTGAAGAAGGGCTGATACTAGCAGCTGTGGTCTGCATGAGCTTCATAAACTGTGAAGTGCTATGCCTCCCAACCCCAGACTGCAGTGGCTGCCCCTCCCCATGCACTCTCATCTCCTGGGCCACCTCAGGAGTGGAGATAGAATCCCTCCCCTGGGACTCTGGGGAAGGCTTTCAGGATAAATAATGAATAACCCGGCTAGACACTGTGAGCTATCGAGTCAGAGAAGCTGAGGAAACGGCCATGGTGTCTCCTCCTTCCCTCAGGAGCCCCTTCCTCACTAGAACGAGGCCCTGGGGACTGGGGGAGCCAGGCAGGATGATCCATGGTCACCCATGTGTCTATGTCTGCCCCTGCTGGCAGCAGACTTGCCTCTCAGCCCTTCTATCATGAGACAGAGGCTCAACTTTAACATCAGTTACGCGAAATGACTCCAATGCCAGCAGCCCTGAGCAGCTGCTAGAGCTGTGGGTTTTGGCTCCTGGGCCTGGCTTGGGGCCAACATCGAGGGTCAGAAACAGGCCGCAGACAGAACAGGCTCCAGACCCTCTCACTCCTCCCAGAGCCATAAAGACTCAAATCAGCACAGTTAGAAATGGAGTCTCAGGGGCTCATGATCTGCCCTAGGCCTTCCTGGGCCTCCCAGGCTGCCAAGGTGCAATTTCCAGTGGCCGGTAGGGCTCCCCTCCTGCCTTGCTCGGGGCATCTCCTCACCTGTACAGCATGAGCTCTCTCTCCCACAAAGTGTGGCTCAGTTACCCACAGATGGGGCTGGAGGCCAAGTCTGCACCCAGCCTTCCCATCTGCCCAATTCACCGGCCAACCACCAGCACCCTTGTGAGCTCCTTGGGACAGCCCCTCCAGTTCTGACCCCAGACAGGCTCCTGAGCAGCCCTAGGCCAGTCTGTCTAGGCTGACTACTGGGTGCTCTTAGCTACTGTGATTCCCCAAGAGCCTCCAGCTCCTACCGTGATCCCTGTCCCTCCCCAAACCCACCTTATCAACACGCCCTTCACTTTATACCATGACCTTCATCTCTTCTGCCTGTAAAGTCCACGACCTCCATCCGATCCATGACCCCTGCCCTGCCCGTGACTCCTTCCACACAGGCCAGGCCCACCATGGCTGTCCCCTCTTGAGGCCAACACTGCCCCACTGTCCTTCCTATAAGCTCCCCAGGCTCTCCTCCAGCTGCAGGCTGGGGACATTCAAACAGATGCAGTGAGGGCAGAGAAGGGGCAGACCTAGAGACCCCACTCGGAGTCCCAGGGCCAGGGCTGTGTGTCATCTGGGCAGGTCCCCAAGAACTCTTGCCAACCCCAAGGCTGAACACACGTGAGGAGCTCGCTTGGTACTCCAAGTCTGAGAGCATCAAGACCAGGCAGGCCTGGGAGTTGAGCCTCTTTTTCACTCTAGCCTCAGTTTCCCTATGTGTAACAAGGAAACCCTATACTCTGTGAACCTGGGTGTTGCGGTGGGGCAGGCAGAACCAAGCCAGGCTGGTGACCTGTAGATCCAGCTCAGGAAGAGGGGGCTATTGTTCAAGTGAGTGCTACCCGTGTGGCGCTCACCTCTGACCACTGTGGGGGCAAAAGACAAGTCCAGTGTGGTCTTAGAACCAGCCTGGCAGTGGTACAGCCCTAGCCCTGGCCCCAGGAAGTCAAGTACATGCCCAGCCCTGTCACCCTGAGAGTTCCTGACCAGTTCTCTGCCTGTGGGCCTCAGTTTCCCTATCTTCTCAGTAAGAGGCTACACAAATAGTTTCTGAAGGCCATCTTGCCCCATGGGGTGCTGACCCACAGGTAGGGCACCCAGTCCAGGCTATACATAGCCTTCCTGCCTCAGAACACTAGGAAGCCAGGAGTGCAACAACCACCTGGGTCCTCCCACTCGCCATCCCAAGTGCCCACCTGTACTGGAAGGTCATGTTGGTGATTTTGATCTTGATCTCCTCGCCTAGCCGGCGCTCCCCAGTCATCTCAAAGAGCTTGCTGGCCATCTTCTCGTACACCTTGGCGTTGCGCTTGGTCTGCTTGAGCTCGTCGAAGAACTCCTCCCAGACCAGCATGAGGCCGCGCATCTCGGCGTCGGTCCAGTTGCGGGCCCGGCGGTGCTTCTCAGTCTGAGGGGACACAAGGTAGCTGGGCACTTCGGCTGCAGCCATGCTGGAGGCACCTGCAGGGTTAAGGATGGCGCTCAGGCAGGGCCCCAGGCCCGGCCAGCGCACCATGAGCAGGAGGCAGTGCACCGGTTCACTCGCTTGCTTGAGGCAGCTCCACGCTCAAAATGGGGCCTACATCTGACAGGCAGGAATTTAGTTAAAAGCTTTTAAACGGGAAACGTCATTTTGATGTCACGTTTCCATAGCAACAGAGCAACTGCATAAGCTACAACAACAGAAACCTTTTAACTGAAAGCACAGGAATCAGGGCTGCACTGACGGGCCATCAATATTGCAGCGAGTGGCTGTGCCCAAACCCACCATGGCTCTAAGCCCTCCTCCCACTTGGCCGGCCCATCAGGCCTTGAGACCAGAGGAGACGCCTGCTTCAGCTGCACCAGATAGGCTTCTGCATGAGGGACCCAGGTAGCACCCTCACCTCAATCCCATCCGGTTTGTAAAAGCCTGAGTCCAAGACAGACAGTGGGCTGCAACCCAAGGTCCAGGGTCAGAAGGGAGATGGAGGACCCCGGCGCTGCCCTGATGCGGGAACTGCTCGTGGGGCCCCTGGCTAAGAGACTACCCTCTCTCAGAGGCCTGCTTGACTTCACCGAGGCTGGGTTCTGGGTTTCCCCGACCCCACCTCCGCAGCCTCCTCCTCCTCCTCCTTCTCGGCTCTTCGCTTCTCTTGCAGCACTCACTCAACATCCTGGGCCACAGGTTGTATGGATGCTGGGAACCCACGCCGATCAGTCCTGCCTTGGTCAGCCGTGCAGGCCAGTGGGGCATGGACACTGACCTTCGTGGGGGCAGATGCCCAGCACTGATGGAAGAAGCAAGCTGGGCTGAGATGAGGAGGCACATCCAGAAAAACTGGCAGAGGCCAGAGGTGCCCTCAATGGCCCAAGGCAGGAAATAGCTGGGAGCTTGTCCTCAAGAGACATGGTAAGGCTAGGGTGGGGGACAGGGCAAAAGGCAGGCCGAGGGACTAAAATGCCCACAGGGCTGGGCAGGGACCCCAGGGGCAGGAGAGCAGGAGCATGGAACATGGTCTGTGGAAGGAAAGTGCCACCACAGAGCGTCAGTGGCTAGCATCTGGAACGTGAAAACAAACAGGACTCCATGGAATCTAAGGCCCCTCTGCTGGTGCCTGTGGACACATTGCCCAGCCTGCTTGCAGGATCTTAGGGGGCCAGTGGGCATTCAGATCTGTCCTTTGCCTGACCAAAGACAGAAGGAGCTTAGTCTGGAGAGGACAGTGTCTCTGGGCTCTGTGTCTTTACACAGGACTCTGGGTGGAGGGAGAGCAGTGTGAGCTCTAGTTCAAAGGGGAAGCCCTGGGAGGGCAGCAGGGGGCAGCCTGGAGGTCTTACCGTGCCCCTTCATAGGTCAAGGGTCAAAGCTGGCCCTGGGCTCCTAGGTACTGGCTGAACCCTTTCTTCTCTGGACCCTGGAAGTCTAGGGACCCCGAGAAGCCATTCCTACTGCCCGCTTTGTAGATACCTCTGGGAGCTTTGCGATGGTCCCCAGATCCTCCCCTCACTGTCAGGGTCAGGTATTGGTCAGGCCAGACACACTGCTGGCTTGCTAGCTCGATGCTGTCCCTTAGCACTGAGCATGGATCTGGGCCTGGCTCTCAGAGCTCTAGGCAGTGCAGTGTGCCTAGAAAGCCCCTCCTCCAAGAAGCTCAGGGATCTACCGCAAGGAGGAAGGCTAGGGTCATGCCTCATTGCCATTTTCTGCCCAGGACTACAAGGGCAGCACCACTCAGCAAACACAGAAAGAGGTCTTACTCTGCAGATCAGGCTGGCCTTGCTGAGTACTAGGATTAAAGGTGTGTGCCACCAGGCCAGCTTCAAACTGCAAGATTTTTTTTTTTCTTTTTGGTCTTTTTGAGACAGGATCTCATCAGCTGACCTGGAACTCACCAGGCTGGCCTTGAACTCAGACATCCACTTGCCTCTGCCTCCGGAGTGCTGGGATTAAAGGTGTACGACACCATGCCTGGCCCAAACTGCAAGTTTTTTATTAGGCTCACTCTGACTTTAGTACGGAACCCCAGCCTCAGGGTCCTCATCTCCGTACTAGAACAGAAACTGGCTGATTATAAATGGCTAAGCAAAATACTAGTCAAGGAGACACAACGCCTTTGGGGCTCTGGGGAGTCATGGAGTTCCCACCTGCCATCTCCCGGCCCATTCTACCAGTCCCCTAGGAGCATCTGCACAGCGCAGCTGCTGGCCAATGGATGTTGCCCAAGGTCGAGCAGGCACAAGGTGGCAGAGCCACTCTGGCAAGAGCTACCTCAGGGCCACACTATGATCTGGGTGGCATCTTCAGGGGGTGAGATGGGCTCCCAGCTCTTCTGAGGCTTGTGAGCATCAGAAGCCCCAGGAAAGGGTGTTCTCTAGGTGCTCTCCAAGAGTAGAGCCATGGCCTGTCCTCCAGGAGCTGGGCCAAGTCCCAACTGCCCCCAACTGGGGGCGGAGTCAGTTTCCTCCTTCAGAGGTGCACTCCATACCTTGGCACAGCTGCATGGCCTGCTGGGACCCTCAGTTGCCACAGGATTGGGAGGCAGAGGGCCAAGGACTGGGCAACCAGCAGCACCTGCAGGGAAACGGCAGGGTAGGTCAGCTTAGCAAGTATCCTTCGGGGGCTAGACATAAGGTTGGTCCTGCTTGGAGCAGGTGAGATCCATGTTCTAAGGGTCTGTTTCTCCTCTAAAGAATGAGGCTGGGCCCAACCTGACACTCTTTCCATTTGGCATTTATGGAGCCTGTTCAGGCTACAGGAAACTAGCTGACTGGGATAATGGAGGGAGGCCAGGAACCTTTTGAGAACAAGGGGCTGTGAAGAGAGCCCATGCTGGTAGGCAGAATTTGGATGAAGGACTTAAGACTTGACAAAAGCCTGAAACACTGTGGAACGTGTGTGCACATATATGTGGTAGTACTTAAGTACAGCAAAGGGCCTTGAGTCACTAAGCAGCGTACACTGATCTTGGAGGTGAGGGAGGGGTGACCTGTCTGGCTGATAAGAGGGGTCATGACCCACATTAGGACTGGCCTGTCCCAGTTCCCTGGGCCTCATTGCCTAGCCTGGAGTAGAGGTCAGGGTGCCTAGTTTGCATGCTAGATGTTGCCATCCATTTCCTATGTTAACATGGAGCCTAGACCCTTAACCTTAACCTCTGCCTCAGTGGACAACCTCCCCGCCCCAACTGCAGCACAAATGCCTACCCTTGAAGTAAAGAAAACATCCCCTCCAGGACCCACCTGCTGTCTTCCGGCCCCTTGGAGCTTCTGCAGAGTGCAAAGCCTGGCCAGGGGGGCAGGAGGGGGATGGAGGCACTCTGGGAGCAGACGACTCAGGCTTCATGCCAGAGGAGCTATAGGACTATAGATGTGGATTCCAGAAATGTCTCAGTTACTGCCCAGTGCTCAGTCCACCTCCACCCATGGGCCCCTGGACTATTGGTTGTGTTCATGGGCTACAGATGAGGCTCCTTCTGATCTGGCTGAGCTGTCACCTCATGTGGAGACAGGACCCATACCTGTTCTTCCTGTGACAGCTCCTAGGAAACCCAGAGCCTGGCCGAGGCACATTTAACTCACCCTGGCTTCCCTCCTCTGGCACTGTTAGTCCATGTTAGACTCCTTTGAGAAACTCCTTCAGAATGCCTTTTGGAACAAAGTTGGAAACAAATACCACAGCAAAGGGCAGAGGAGCCCCAAACCTTGTGTTCCTGAGCCCACCAGGCAGGAGGGCAGGGCCTGCTCTGGTGAGGGTAGCAGTGGGTTGGTGTTTCGTGGTGGTGGCTGGGGTGAGCTGAAGACATCCCCAGAGGCTCACCCTTATCTTTTCAACTAGCCTGGGCCCATTCCTTTCTGGAACTACCACCCATGCCAGTTGTGCCAAGGGCCTGCCTGTCCACAGGGAGGACAGGGGTGCTTCATTTCCCTGAAGTTGCCAGGAGTCAGGTGGCTCTGAAGGTCTTAAGGGTGAGACCACCACGGTCCTGGAGTTACGGCTGATGAGACAGATTTAGGGAGTTGAAATGACTTCTGTGCCCCCATCAGTCAAATGCTTAAAAGCCACTGACCAGGGACCTATACATGATGGGGTATCCACCAGGCCCTTCCCAAAGAGGGCTCATCACCCTATGCAGAGAAGAGACCCCATGCCCTAGAAGGGCTGGTGGCATGCACTGGCAGAGCTAGTGACGGCTGCATGAGCGATCTGGCTGCCTCGGCCTATCAGCCATCTGCCATCCCTCCTGGCACTGGCCTCAGGGCCCGCTGCACTGAGAGGCCACGTAGACAATTGCTGCCTCCTGGCTGGAACCCCACAGAGGAAGACACAGCCCAGCATTATTTTTGGAGCTGGAGAGTAAAGTACTGGCACCTTCAGGCTCAGCCAGCTAAGAAGGCTGGCTACCTGGTGCAGTGGGCCACAGATGTCTTAGAGGAAGCGGGAGGTCTAAAAAGCTACAAAGGACAGAGTGGGCACTGCAGACACAGCAGTGAGGCTAGACCACAGGTGCAAGGACAGCTGTGTTCGGGGGCAGCAGGGTTCATCTGGGCCAGGAGCACAAGATGTCAAAGGCCCCGTGTGAGAACAGGACCTCACCATCACGCCAGTGCCCTGGAGCCATGTGTAGAAGCTAAAACAAAGGGCCCACATCCAGGGTCTTGCACAATGAGCTTAAAATGCCAATTACCACCACAGCTTGGCAGACCACAGAGCTGGGCAGGGCTTGTGACTGCCCCTAGGCCTGGGCCCAATCCAGGGCACCTAGACTCCTGGCCATACCTGTCATGCTGCCTGAACCCTACAGTGTTAAGATGGCTGCTGGTGGGTAGACTTGTCCACTGGAGAAGGGCCCTCCTCCTCAAACGCTGGAAAGTAGGTTCTCATCAGTGAAGGAAGCCTCAAATAGCAACAACAGATGGTTTAATTGCTCCTTTAATTCAGTGTACAATGTCTGCAGTTTAAAAATTTTAAATATACATCTCATGTCAGTCCTTCCTTTTGGAAGTAGACAGGTCTGGGTTGGGCTCCAGGATGCACCCATCACAGCCCTGCTGGTTCCCAGTGCAGCCAGGCCTGGACAGGAGGCCCTAGAATGTAGCCAAACCTTTGCAGAGAGGTGCCTGCCATCTAACCCATACACCAAGCTTGTGGCAGAAGCTCTGCTTCCAGACACATTTGAGGGGAGGGGTTCCTTTGATGGCACTGAAGTGTGACAGGCACACATGGAGGGTGGCCCTGAACCTTCAGACCACCTTCAGTTGTCACACAGCTCTGAGTGGGTCCTTCGTTCCTGGCAGCTCCAGGCCCAGCGAGGGACAGTTCTTACAACCTGTGCCATGCCGAGCTCTCCACTCAGCCTCAGCAGCCCCGTGTCTTCCTACTCCCACACATCACCCCCAGAAGATAGCTCCATATCCACCTTGGCAGCGGTCACAGTCTCAGTACTCAGGCTGAGGGAGGGCAGTTTAGTTAAAGCCCAAGTGGGACTGAGTGGGGAAGGATGCTCACAGGTGGTGAGACTAATTCTGCACCCTCACAAATGTACAAGTGCGACGCAGCCCGGTAACGTGGAGGCAGCTTCCCCCTGCCGTGAGCCAAGTTATTGCTGTGTAAGACCCAACCCGGCCAGGCTGAGGGCAGAGTCGCTTCATCCAGAAAGTGCTCCTGCCAGGAAAGGGGCCGTGTAGGGGTGGAGCCTTTTTTGACACTGCCTTCGGTAAGGCTGGAGGTGGCTGGGCTCCACGCTTCCCTCTGAGGACATGCACAAGTGAAAACGTGAGAATAAAGGGCACTTGGCAGTTGGAAAGTCACCTCCATTTCAGTGGGGCCAGCAGTGCGAAGGAGGCACATTTTGGAGAAACACGCTTAAGTGCACTGCCAAATATTTCTACCCTGGTTTCACTAAAATCTTTCCTGACAGCACCAGCAGGAAAACAAAAACAATACCCTGCCTCTTGCCCTAAAACTTTACAATCAATATAACATTTTTGATAAAATTTGGGACTCCATAGATTTTGAAGAACTTGAGGAAGTCTTGGTCCCAGTCGCAGAGTTAGGAAGGTGGAGCGTGGTCTCCAATGGGCCAGAGCTGCGTCTTCTACTGAGTCCCATCTGTAGACGCTGGACTCACATGAACGAATGTGGTGGGTCTAAGAAAAGTCAACTTCCAGGAAGACTGACAGGCATTCCTAGAAGCCTTGCATATGTCTTGAGAGGGGTGTGTGTGTGTGTCTGTGTGTCTGGTGTGTGTGTGTGTGTGTGTGTACACATAAATACAACTCTGGGTACGTACACACAAATGCACGCACATCTGTGCCTGGGTAACTTTACTCAAAGTCCATCTGCACCTCCTGGTTGTGGCACCTATCACCAGAGCTGGTACCAGCCCCAATCTAGGTTGAGTGTACAGTTATGAATTCCAAGGGGAATAGCTCCAGATTTTACATCACCATGTCATTTCACACAAACTTAAAACATCTAGCCATGAACATCACCAGGCCTGCAATATGCCCATCTCTGTTGGACCAACCTAGGGGTAGGGCTGCAGCACCTTCTGAGCATGGTCCACAAGCACTTCCAGTGGGAGCCTTCAACAGCAAAGGAGAGTTGGTGACTTTCATTTAAATTCAGTTGTTCCCTTAAGGCCCTTTTCAAAGAATGGGTCCATGTCCACTGTTCATGCCATCCTGACACCAGAATAGGCTGGTGTGGCTTGGGCTGGGAGTAGATGGGGGGTGCTACAAAGGCAGATCACACCAGATGTGAGAGGTTGTTGTGCAAGGGGGACTCTATGGGCTCCCACACATGTGGGTGGTGGGGAACCCTGCATCCCAGCTGACCTCCAACTGCCAAGATGGGAAGGCAAAAGGGAATTCAGGGGTCTCAAGGAAGCATTCTATGGACTCAAGTACAGTTAATTAATCTGATGGATTGAAAGTTCTTTCCTCCTGTGCAGCCTCTGCCTCCCGTTCTACACCTGAGAAATACCATCATGACCTAGATAGCTGGTCAGCACAGCAGTCAAGGCTTGCTTCTGGGGGACTGGGAAGCAGAGAACCTGCCCCGCCACACAGTCAATCAGCAAGCAGAACTCACCCACTATCCAGAGCTCATTGTCATTAAAATATGACTGGGCTACTCCGGACTTGAGCCTTGGGAAGAAGTGGCGATTTTGACAAGCATGTGGGGCTGAACCAGAGCCGCAGGCTGACCTGATACTAACCTTTCCTTCTGCATCTCATCCTGCTGAGGCTAAGCCCTTCCTGGGATCTGATAGGCACAGGTCCATTTTCTCCTGGGCTAACACAAGCAAATTCAGGAGCAAAAGAGGGGCTGAGGTCCATCCTTAACACTCTCTAGGACACCAAGTGAGTCCTCAATCACAAAGAGCTCAGACAAACCACAGCTCAGAGACACCTCAGGGGTATAAGGCCAGCACCCACCTGGCCACCCACCGTGTAGATGCAAGATGACAGCTTCCACAATGGTCAGCCGGCTCCTGGGCAGGCTACGGCCCAGCTCAGCCAGGACCAGGGTTGTGGTTATCGAGGGTGGCCTGAGTGCAGCAGAGGCTGCTCGTGGCCAGGTGGGCTGACTGACAGGGAGGTTGTGTCCCTCACTGTTGGGCGGAGCTTGTCTGAGGACGTGTGCTGCAGCAAGGACAGGCCTCTTATGCCCCTAACAGTGGAGAGCAGCTCTCCGAAGCCCTCAGCTGGGCCACAGGGAGGAGTCTTGCTTTAGGCAACTGACACCAATACCTCTCTCTGTTCAGGATTAAAGTGAGAAGTATGAGGTGGAAGTGTCTCAGGTATTGGACCAAACTGAGCAGCTACAGGAGAGGGTGTGGTAGCCAAAAAGCTCATCCACTTCCACAGACTTTGTCACATGCAGCACAGGCCTTGCAAGTCACACACTTTACACGGGCATAGGAAGAGTTACATTAAAATTAATTTCTTTACTGATATAATTAAATTTTAAGTCCTGAGAAGAAAACAGAAAGGGAGACTGGCACTGGGCATTTGGCGCCCCCGTCCCCAGCCCACGCACACCACTGTGTTCCGTGTCCAGACACTGGTGTAGTGGGTGTGCCCTGCTGGGGAGATGTGGGCGGGAACTCTCCAGCCCAGCGGGACAGGAGGGCTCAGGACCACCCGGCAAGAGCCAGGACTTCTGCTCCACATGCCAGGGCAGCTGCAACCCAGCGACCATGGCCAGGGGATGCTAGGAAAAGGACAAATACCTGGTCAGCAAGCACTGCACCAGTTGTGGTGAGGCCAGGACCTAGGACTCAGGCTCAACCCCAACATAGTGCATGTTCCCCGTAGGGCCCCTTACTGCAAGACACCCTTGTCACTGGCTGTCTGCCCACTTGACGCAAGGGGAAGCCTGCAGTGACCAAGGCAGCTCCAGCAGATGCTTGGTGCAGGTTCCTGGAGGCTCTGGCTGCCTCCTCTTGGCCTCTTGTGCCACAGGTACTCAGCAGGTAGTGACCTTGTGGACGTTTTGCAAACAAGCGAGGAGCCGGTGGTATGGGCTTCCTGGTGCTGCCACCATCTCAAACACAGACTGGAAAGCCCTGCGATCAAACTCCTCCTCTATCTGGTGTCTGTAGAAGTCTGTGGCAACCAGGCAGAAAAGGTTCACATCCACCTGCTCCAGCTTGCCCATCCTGCTGATGACATGTGGAAGGCTGACAGAGGAGTCAAGGGAAAATGACAGCAAAGGTGGAGGAGAGAGACTCCTGCAGGAGTGCCTTTCCTGACCAGGCCACATCATAAACGGGTCCAGGGAGGATAGAGGACAGCTAAGGCAGAGGACAGCCTATGTCACAGCAGTAGCTGTAGCTGTTCCAACCCTCTCCCATCTGCAGCTGACTATGTGCCCAGGAGGGCAGGGGTGGGAAGGCAGAGGGGCCCAGGAATGGAAGCAGCACAGGTGGGGTGCTGGCTCCCAGTGCTCTGTGCAGCAGCACTTACCTGGGCCAGGTTTCCTACACAGCTCTAGAGGCCGGCGTTCCCACTCACCCTGCTTCGGTGCAGGGAGGGCAGAGCCAGGGCCCTGCCTGTCAGGCCCTCCCAGCACTTGGGGTGAGGCTGTGCTGTCAGCACCAGGACAACCGCGCTGTTTGGAGGCTCTCGTGGTTGTGGGGGAAGCTGCCAAGAGGGGAACTCCTGGCAGCACTGCCGGGGCGGGAGATGGAACTTTACTTATGACTTTCCCCAGGAGGGTGACCATGGCATAATGATGAGGGCTAATGAGAAGCAGCACAGGGAAAACCCCAGAGGGACAGAGCAGGCCAGTGGATGGCCAGCCTCAGGGCCAGCAGCTCACCTGAGCTGCCCTGCCTCCCCTTCTGCTCCCCTCCCTCAGCACCACACGAACGCATGCACACGCACGCACACACACACACACACACACACACACACACACCCCACCCCCACCCCCACCCCCAGCTGGTATATGCTTGGACCTTCACTCTGGGTCCGTTAAGATCCTATGCCTTTGGGGCTGAATAAACATTGCCTTGATACGGAGTTCTGCAGGAGAGGTTTCCAGACATTTAATGAAAGCTCAGTCTGATGCTGAGAGACGGGAACCTACCCAGGGAAGGATACATCGCTGAAACCCACGGGCTGGTAGATGCGCTGACAAAGAAGCAGGAGAGGCTCCACATGGCCATGGCAACTGGGGTTCTCTGTGTGAAGTTGGACAGGGACAGCATGACCCAGTCCCGGACCATGGATGACTGTCCACCACTGTGCAGAGTCTGAAATACCTGGGAAGGAGAGAGATCCTTGAGCATGGGGTTAGGCTGTGGGAGAGGATCCTGGGCAAATCTATTGGAAGTCTGGGGTTGACTCTGCATCTGTTCCTCCTGCTCTGCCCCACACATGGACACCCTTACCTTATACACTACAGTAGCCATGAACTGTGGGTATGGCTGCTGGTTGGATAGGAACTCTCCAATAACTTTGTTCATGACATCTTGAGGTGGGAAGAAGTCATCCAAGAACTGAGGCAGGATCCTCGCCACTACCCTGGCTTCACAGGGAAACCCCTTCCGGATCCTGGAAGGAGGGGGGTTGATCAGATTCTCACCCCAGCTCCCGGCCCTCAGCCCTGCCCCACAGAGTCAACACGGTCTAGGGCTTTAGAGGCCCTTGACCCCAGGGACGCGAGAACTAGTATATGAGCTTTCCTTTTGTTTTGTTTTTTTTTTTTGAGCTGGGGTCTTCTTGTAGCCATAGCTGGCCTGGGACTTGCTATGTAGACCAGGCTGGCCTCAACCTCACAGAGATCCACCTACCTCTGCCTCCTGAGAGTTGGGATTAAAGACGTGTGCCACCATGCCTGGCAAGGGTATGAGTTTTGAGAAGGTCCTGACAACTGCCTTTTCCTTTGTTGTTCTGATGGAACTGGGCACAAGCTGAGTCCCCACCAAAGGGACACAATGCAGAAAGGGGTGGGAAAGACCCAGAAAGGACAGCAGGCACCGAGTGGAGTGCTGCTGTTACAGAACAGACTCCCACACTCGGCATGAACTCTTCACTATCACGTGATCCAATGCCTGGTGCACTGCTGTTGACTAGGAGTTCTTCTCCTCAAACCTGGACTCATCTACGCTCCTGATTCTTCTTTCAAGGGACTCTAGCACTTTCCCCACAGCAACACCCCTTTCACTGCTGAAGACAGTGATCTGTGACTATCCTCCTAAAGCACACGCCACTGCAGAGTTGCACGGAGGAGTGCGAAGTGACTCAGAGCCTGGGCTGTGCCTCTGCTCAGCAACGGTGCCTCCCCGTAGATACAGCCAGCACCCAGGTGCACTCCTGGAGTGCTTATTTTTCCCACTGGACTGTGAGCTCCACAAGGTGGTGGGTTGGTTGTGTGCCTGCATGGGCCCAGCTGTCCCTGAATCTGACCATGCGGTGGTGCTCTGTGAACACACATACACTGGAAAATGCCTGCAGAGATGCATTTTAAAATTCAAGAGGTAAGCAAGTACACACAGAAACACTCCATCTGGGTTTGGCTCCAGGACAGTTAATGGCTAAGGGGAATTAGGGGAAAGTATGTAGCATTTCTTACCTATCAAAGAGAACAGACACCCGTTCCATAGCAACAATCACGGACTCGCTGTCGGGTGTTACGGGGCTGGGGTCAGAGGCTCTGCCTGGACTGGCTTTTTCCTTTCCTGAGACAGAAGCACTCAGTAGGTTACAGACGGAAACCTAGGAATTTCGAAACCAGCACACAGCCGGCCCTCACCTTGACAGGCTCTCACTATGCAGCTCTGGCTGGCCTGGAACTCACTATTGCGGACCAGGCTAGTCTTGAACTCACAGAATCCATCTGTCTCTGCTCCGAAGTTCTGGGATTAAAGGTGTGCAGCACCACATCTGGCTTTACAGAGGACTATAACAAGTAGGCAGAGACGCTCCAAAAGCAGGTAAAACTCTAGTAAGACAGGACCAGCTCAACCCCCAACTCTCAGTCTCAGTGGCCAGAGGCAGCTCTGATACCTATACATGGTGGTGTCATGTCAGCTGCTCCTTTGCCTTGGGCCCGAGAATCTCTCAAAAGCAACAGGGTTGGCTGAGGGCCACATTAATGCTGCTACAGCAAAGGTCTGGCCTGTGCCCAGAACCCCTAGGATCAGTCTGTGACCCTCACAATGCACTCACCTGTGTACATGCAGGTGAGCATCAGACCTAGGGCTGCCATGGCCCGATGAGGACTATGCACATTCACTCTGTCCACGCTTAGCTTGACCAAGGATTCTGTGTCTAGCCGAGAGAGCTGCTCAGACAGCAGGAGGCGTTCCAGACCTCGTAGAGCACAGTGGTAAATGATGGAGGGGGTAGACTCCTCACTTCCGGACAACATCACTCCACACATCTAGATGAGAAGAAAGACTTGTTCTATTCCTCCGCCTAAATCCAGACTGACCCACCACTGCAATCACACAAAACGCTCAGAGGAACCCCGCCAGAGTCCTCTCACCTGAATCACTGATGCTGAAAATTCTGGTCCCACATCCAGAGGGTAGTTTTCCATCAGGTAGAACGCAGTAGCACACATCACCAGCACGTGCTGCTGGCTGTGAATGTTCACGCAGCTGAGAAGGGAAAGAGCAGTCATACCCAGGCATCTATGGAAGCCCTGTCTGCAGTGGGGAGAGTTCACAGCACGCCCATCCACATCTACAAGTGCAGAGCCCTTGGCTGCGCTAGCTTCTCCAGACTGCACCTAACAGCCCGTGGACCATACTGCCCCCAGAGCTGCATGGTCTCAGCCTAGTGTGCCACTCTGGACACTGCACCTCTGTACAGGCAACTTCACACTTCCAAGTTGGTGATGCCTATGGATTCCTCATGTTCAGGGTGCCTCCTCAGGATGCCCATCTGATCCCTGTGTGGCTCACACCAACTTGTAATACTGTAACTCATAGGATCTCCCACTGGGACCTGTCTGCCCCATGGCAGCAGTGGGGACCTGGCTGGTCTATGACCGGACCGATGCCTCCATAACAAAGGAGCCACACACTATCTCTGCCTTTGTAGGTGTGTTCAAGGAACACTGTCACTAAGACGTGTGCCACTGTTTTGCATGTGACCTGAAGCAATGAGCAAGCTCTGTGACCTGACTGGGCACAGCAAGCTCCCGACACCCTCCCCAGTCCTCTGTGTCCTCATCACAGATTGTACTTCCACACGACCTGCCCAAACCTGCTCCAAGCCAGGATCATAGGGACAGTGGCTGGCTGCCTACCTTCCACACATGGCAATCACTGTCCAGAAAGGACTACAAGGAAGAAGGGCCCTCCCTCAAGGTCAGCACCCCACTCCAACTCTGTTGCCAACTCTGCTGGGCCCCTAAACTGCACTCCTCATCCTCACACTGTCAGGGCCCCACCACTTCACAGCAGCCATGTCTGTCAGCCCAAGACAGCACCGTCTCCAAATCCTCCATTTAACTTTCCTCCCCATCTCTCAACCTGAACCCATCATAGAACACCCGGCTTTCCTCCCAGCCCCTCTCACCTTTGCTCCTAACTCATGCCCTCAAATCTGACTGCCCAGCTCCCCCATGTATATGTGTCACAGCACTTTCTTCTGCTTATAAGGCCGAGCTATGACGGGTTCAGCTCAATTCTAAGGGACCAGCAGCAGAGCTATGCACAGCCACATGTAAAGCATTTTCATGGGGAGGTAGAAATCAGAGCAAAGGGCTTCACAGGGAGCATAGAGGTAGCAAGAACTACTGAGGTGGCTGAGCCTAGCAGAGGATGGACAGTGCCCAAGGAAAGTGACAGAGAGGCAGGACTCTTAATTGTGCTGTGGACATCCAAGAAATTGAGACACACATTTGTGTCCTTGGGTCTTACTGCCACTGTTTCCTAAAAAGGGTGCCCAAATGGGTTCCCCGTCTGTCACCTGGCCAGGGATCTGGCTTGCACTTACTGTTTTTGAGACACGATATCACCTGCAGCCTGGGCTAGCCCTAAACCTGTGGCAATTTTACTGCCTCAGCCACTCAAGTACTGGGATGACAGTATAAGTCACTATGCCAGCTCTGGTATACTTTAAAAGTCAAACAGAGCCCTTTATTTAGCCTACGTCAAAGCCTGTAGCCCATCCATCCAGGCCCCACTCACTGGGCTATTCCTTTGAGGTTGGACAGTAGGTAGTCACTGACAACTGGGATGAGTTGCTTTGCAGTGTCATCCAAGAGGTCACACTCCAATACGTAGAGGATGCCGTGCAGGGCCCCAATCTGGCTGGGCAGGTGGCTGCTCCTGAGTGTATTCTCCAGCAGGCGGCTGACTGGCTCTGCTACAGTCTTGTCCTGGACACAAGCACAGACAGAGGCTGCTGGAGGTGACTGACAGCTGATGAACCAATGGCCTGCTTCCCTGAAGCTGCAAGGGCTGTCCCCTTGGCTCCAGTAGAGTCCAGCGCGCAGTGAGTCCACATAGCAGCTAGAGACCCATCCAGAGAGGCTGGCATACAGCACCCAGAAACCTGAATTCGGAGAGGGAGATAGGGAGGTATACCTTGTTAAGTTCTAGATACTTCTACTGCTATGACAAGCACCATGGCCAAACCACCTTGAGGAAGGAAAGAATTTGTTTCTTCTTATCTCCCAGATCACAAGTTCATCACTGAGGGAAGCCAGGGCAGGAACTCAAAGTGGATGCCTGAAGACAGACTCTGAAGCACAGATCAAGAAGGAATGCTGCTTGCTGGCTTGCTCCTCTGGCCCATGCTTTCTTTTTTAAAAAATATTTTTATTATTTTAGCTGGGCGTGTTGGCGCACGCCTTTAATCCCAGCACTTGGGAGGCAGAGGCAGGCAGATCTCTGTGAGTTCAAGGCCAGCCTGGTCTACTTAGTGAGTTCCAGGACAGCTGGGGCTACAGGGAGACCCTGTCTCAAAAAGACCAAAAAAAATTTTTTTTTATTTTTGTGTATGAGTGTATTATCTGCATGTATGTGAATGCACCTGTGTTGTACAATGTCGCGGAGGTCAGAGGAGGGCGTCAGATTCCCCTGGAACTGGAGTTAAGGACGGTTTGTAGCTGCTGTGTGGATGCTGGGAATCAAACCCAGGTCCTCTGCAAGAGCAGTCAGTGCTCTTAACCACTGAGCCATCTCTCCAGCCCATCTGGCCCATGTTTTGTTGTTTTTTTAAAAAACATTTTAGTTATTTTTATTTTATGTGTATGAGTGTTATGCCTGCATGTAGGTAAATGCACCCGTGTTGGTGCACTGCCCGCAGAGGGTAGAAGAGGCTGTCAGATATCCTGGAACTGGAGTTACGGACAGTTATTAGCTGCCATGTGGGTGCTGGGATTCGAACCTGGGTCTTCTGCAAGAACAGTCAGTGTTCTTAACCACTGAGCCTTCTCTCCAGTACCTGACCCATGCTTTCTTATACAAACCTGGGCACTCCCACATCACTCAACAATCATGAAAATACCTCATAGACACATTCACAGGCCAATTCAATGAAGGAAATGCCTCAACTGAGGTTCCCTCTTCCCAGGTCTATCAAGTTGACAACTCAACCTTAACTAGGACATTAGCGTAGGAAGTGTGGCCCGCGTCTACACTTGCTTTCCTTCCAGAGCTGTGATACATGCTGGGCAGAGGTGCCATGTACCTAGCCCCCACAGACAACACTGGACTCTTGAGCTCTGTCAGCTTCTGCTGGAACATTTCACATGTGTTGTCTTGGCTTCTTCCCTGGGGAGCTGTGTCTGCATCCATTGGGACAGCATCTCACATCTGGTCTTCTGGGCTTAACTCACACACCTCCTCCCTTGGCTGATTTTCCTTGAGTCTCTTCACTACAATGAATCTTAGCTCTTGCTCCTTCTAGCAAAAACCTGTGGTAGTCATGAAGGGCCTGACATCGATCTGAGCTAACCTGGACTGAGTGTGGCAACCTAGCACACACCCTGACTCAGGACTCCTACAGCAGCAGAAAGTGCCCAGGAAAGGTGGGGTCTCAATTTGCTACCATCAAACAAGAGGCCATCATGCTATCCAGCCCTCCTTAGGAGTCTGATGGTCTTGGTTAGCTGAAGAAGGCTAATCTTCTTTGCTAGTTACTTTCTTCTCACTCCCTTCCCAGGCTGTGCCCACGGAGTTGTGTGGGACCTTCCCAAAGACAGCGTGCACCCAGGCCTCCAACTTGACTTCTACAAGCACAATGCCAGGATGTGCTGTTGAGGGCTGCAGATTTGACAACAGTGGACAAAGAAAAGTGAAAGCTTGGGTGTACGTTGTGGAACACATTTCATGGTCATGCCATCCCCATATCAGAGAAACTGTGATGATTTGCACTCACACAAAACCCTCACAAGCATAGGCCTAGAAACATTCCCTCCTAGCAGGGGTAGGTATACCAGGTACACATGATCCTGCCCCAGCTGCCCTTGGTCTTGGGAGGCACAGGTGTATAGGAGGTGGACGGTTAAGTGAAGGGGGTGGGATGTCTTCATGTATGCGGCTTTTGGGATGCTGCCCAAGCTGGGTAGGACTTTTCAGTGACGTAGCTATTTTGGAGTCACTCAGGCTCCTGCAGTAAACCCTCACCAATGTTCCCATGAGTAAACCTAATAAACTTTCTGGTTCACCAAGCTGGACTTGGATAGAACTGCTGCTTTGGTCGGTCACCAGTGACCTGAGAAGAATAGTCCTTTGTTCAAGTTTCCCCAGAAAAAGTAACGCAGCCATGCAACACTGTCTGCAGTGAGGTCAGGCTGAAAGCCTCTCAGAAGACAACTGTCTTCAATGACGACACCCATGTGCACAGAGCTGAGAACTGGGGCCATGTGCCATCCTGCCTTGGGGTCTTTCTTTAAAAACCATTTATTATTTGCCTGATGTATTTGATTTATATTTTGCCTGAGGATCTGGGCCCAAGTACAAAACCACAGTTACAATGAAAGCCAAGTTGGCAGCTGATGCCCCATGGAGGAAAACAGACCTCCCACAAGGACAGTCCTGACAGCACCCAGAGTATACCTACTCTGAACAGTGTTCACACAAAGGGCTGATGTGTTCATTGTTCCTGCTCCTTGGATGGCACTAAGTCACCAGTGTGGCCCAGGCTATGGCTCACCCATGCTGGACACCTGCTTTAGCCTCTGAGTTCAATGACAACAGATTCTATAGAGGAGCAGCAAGGGAGGTGGGAGCTGTGTTCTGCCATAACCTGCATGTCCTGGCTTTGTCAGTCTGCACAGGGTTGGATAGGTGTGCGAGAGCAGAGGCCAGCAGGTGCTGGTGGCTGCCATGGTGGTGATGGCAGTACTGTTACTGCTGACAGGCAGGTCCATGTACGGCGGGGGAGACAGACCCCAGGAGGCTCCTTCTTATCACTCCTGCGGCAGCCCCATGCCTCGCACACAGTAACCACTCATGTCTACTAAACAAGTTTTTTAAAAAAATATTTATTTTTTTTTATTTTATGTGTATGAGTATACTGCCTGCACGTGAGTGTACCTGTGTCATGCAATGCCCACAGAGGACAGAAGATGCGTCGAATTCCCCTGGAACTGGAGTTACAGACAGTTGTTAGCTGCCATGTGGGTGCTGGGAACCAAACCCGGGTCATCTGCAAGAATAACCAGTGTTCTTAACTGCTGAGCCATCTCTCCAGCCCCAAGTTTTTTATTTTTTTACTTATTATTTTTTATTTTATGTGTATGTGTGTATTGCCTGCATGTAGGTAAGTGCACCTATGTCATGATGCCTGCAGAAGTCAGAGGAGGGTGTCAGATCCCCTGGAACTGGAGTTATGGACAGTTGTTAGCTGCCATGTGGGTGCTGGGATTTGAACCCAGGTCTTTTGCAAGAACAACCAGTGTTCTTAACCGCTGAGCCATCTCTCCAGCCCCAAGTTTTTTATTTAAAAAAAAAAAACTTGTATATGGCCAAGTGTGGTGGCGCACACCTTTAGTCCCAGCACTCGGGAGGCAGAGGCTGGCGGATCTCTGTGAGTTTGAGGCCAGCCTGGTCTACATAGTGAGTTCCAGGCCAGCTGGGGCTACAGGGAGACCCTGTCTCAAAAAGAACAAACAAACAAACAAACAAAACCTTGTCTATGTCTACATGTAAGCATTGGAT